AAGAGGGGGAGTAAGAAGACGAGAAGGCTTGAGTAGTAGCATCCAAACCACTATCCACCCTGCTCGATGCAGCAGATAGGGCACCGTTGATTATCCTCTGCCGTGGCTAGAGCATCCATCGCAATGAGGCTGGACCTTACCGTGGTGCGATGGTTTGTGTGCCTCAGCGATCCATTGAGCTACGCTGGGTGGTGCTTTTGCACCTTCAGAGTCACTCATACCAGATTGGTCAATGGTTAGAGGCCAGACAAACTCAGCCTCCTGGTCCTCCAGGTTGGGGGTTGGAATGAGGGTGGCATCTTATTCCTTAAAATGGACTCCTTGTAGCCCAACGCCAAACCCGCTGCCTTGCGGTCAGGTTTTTGAACCAAAGGCTTTGGTTGAGAACCCTAATCGTTCTCCTGTCTAGGCCTGGGCAACCTGACAGTATCCTGCCCACGCAATACTATGAATTTTCCTTCAAACAATTTCTTGATGCTCTGGCCACCGCAGAGGATAATAAACGGTGCCCTATCTGCTGCATCGAGCAGGGTGGATAGGGGTTTGGATACTACTACTCAAGCCTTCCCGTCTTCTTATTCCCCCTCTTACGATTTTTCACTCTTACCGTCCCATTCCAACTTCACTTATATCCCCCCAGTTTTCAACCCTCCCCCAACATGCTTTGCTAGGCATTTACCTTCTAATTTCAACTCACACGTGAACGCGGAGCGTCACTCCTCTCCTGTCGACAAGCCCATGTCCAAGCTAGCGGTCCAATCCAGTTCATCGGCTTCCATTTGGAGCCCTCGATCCTCCTTCAGATTGGCGTGCCTCAATGTACGCGCACTGCTACAAATCGGTCAACAGGCAGCACTTGCCCGAACATTGGAGACCCTCTCGATCGATATCTGCTGCTTATCAGAGACTCGCCTGCAAGACTCGAGCACTGTGCTCACTCTGCGATCCCCTTCAAATGACACAAGCAGTATTTTCTCAGTGCGCCTATCCGGTGACGATGCAGCTTCGAGCACCGGCCAAGCCGGTGTTGGTATTGCCCTGAGTCCCCGGGCTGAAGCTGCTCTGGTTGATTGGATTCCAATCAGTAGCCGGATGTGTGCGGTCCGATTGGCTGGCTCGTTTAAAGCTTCGAAGTCGAGCGGGACTAATAGATGTCTATTCATCATTGCTGCCTATGCGCCCACAAACTGTAGCGATGATTCGGTAAAGAACGACTTCTACCGCCAACTGACCCAGCTCCTTCGTCACAGAAGAAGCACGGACATTGTTGTGCTGGTGGGGGATATGAACGCACAAGTTGGAAAGTTGTCCACTGATGAAATGCATCTGGGCGGTCAACACGGTGTAGGCTCCCGTAATGATAACGGTGAGCGGTTACTTCATTTGTGTGAGGATGCTCGCTTATTTCTTGCGAGCACTAATTTCCGACACAGCACCCGCCGAAGGGTGACTTGGCGCCCACCAACCTCGAACCAGCCTTGCACGCAGATCGATCACATTGCGATAAGTTACCGCTGGAAAGGCTGCATCCAGAATTGTCGCTCGATTTGGAGCACATGTGTGGACACCGATCATGCACTTGTATGTGCTGACATGCGGATGCGCTTTGGCGGACGCTCACGACGACGCTGTGAGCGTATTGACACCAGCCAACTGACAAAACCAGCTGTTCTGAATGCGTATCGAAGTACGTTGACATGCGAGTTGAGTAAGCGCTCACAGGAGACAACTGATGGTCACTGGTCACATGTTCGCCAGACCTTACTAGCAGCAGGCAAATCCTCAATGTGGTATGTCTAATAGACAACATGGACATTGGGTCTCTTCGCAGTCTCTGGAACTTATAGATGCTCGCCGGCAAATCCCGGCTGGAAGCGAGCACAATGAAACTCGCAAAGAGCTCCGGGCAAAACTCCGTGCTAGCTTGAAGAGAGACCGCGAATCATGGTGGTCTCATCGTGCTACAGAGATGGAAGTGGCCGCGGCCTTTGGCAACCATCGTAAGTTATTCCGTCTGATACGGGAAACGGGCAGCGGGATACCTGGTGTTAGTGAAACTATACGTGACGAGAGTGGACAGCCTATCCACAATTTGTCAAAACGTCTGGAGCGTTGGGCTGAGCATTTTGAAAAGCAATTTAATCGGCAAGAATTGTTCGATTCGCCGGTCACTGATCGCCCCGCTCCGTGGGCTGTCCCTTTGGATCCACCCTCTCGCTCAGAAGTTGAACGTGTGATCGGACAGTTGAAGTTGAACAAAGCCGCGGGACCAGATGATCTTCCACCAGCCCTCTTCAAGTTTGGAGGCTCTGCTCTTGTTGATGCTTTGCATGAATTACTAGTGAAACTGTGGGAGCAGGAAACTGTCCCAACTGACTGGAGCCGCTCCGTTATTGTTCCCATCTTCAAAGGCGGCTCGCGCTCGGAATGCGGCAACCATAGAGGAATCCGTCTGATCTCCATCGCCTCCAAATTACTCGCGTCCATAATTCTCCACAGACTGACTGGCGCTCGTGAAAGCCAGATTCGTCAGAAGCAAGCCGGGTTTCGTCGGGGTCGTGGCTGCATCGACCACATCTTCACCTTGCGTTAGTTGTTTAAGCACCGTCACACATATTGGCGGCCCACCGTAGTCGTGTTCCTCGACATCAAAGGTGCCTTCGATTCGGTTGATCGATCTTCCCTTTGGAATTGTCTACTCTGGAAAGGTGTGCCCGAGAAATATGTAAATATTATCCAAGCATTATATGCGCGTAGCACGGGCAGAGTAAGGGCTTACAGCAGGCTGTCGCCACCCTTCAATATCTCCAGCGGTGTGAGACAAGGATGCCCGCTGTCACCTTTCCTATTCAACTTCGCTATTGACGAAGTCATGCAGATTGCATTTACAGGACATGACTTGGAAGGTGTGGAGCTACTCCCAAGAGAACGACCTCTTGACTTAGAGTATGCAGACGACATTGCCCTCATCTGTGACAGCTCCCAGACGTGTCAAGCCGCGCTGGACAGATTAGCACTGGCTGTCAGTCGCCAGCACCACCGAAGTGCAAGGCGTTCCTCCAGGACTGGCAGGGTTCGCCCCCTGTGCTGACCCTTGGTGGGGATCAGCTAAAGTCGTTCGGAAATTCAATTACCTGGGAAGTTGTATCAGCGCCCTTGGGATCGAAGACGAGATCACGAACCGCATAGCGAAAGCTCGAAGTGCTTTTGCTAACCTTCGCCACCTATGGCGACGGCGCGACATTACTCTCGCTCTGAAGGGTAGAGTGTACAATGCAGCGGTACGTTCGACCTTACTGTACGGTTGCGAAACCTGGCCCCTAAGATCGGCGGACATGAAGAGGCTACTTACGTTCGACCATCGGTGCCTTCGCAGTTTGGCTCACATCTGGTGGGAACACCGCGTGAGTAACGAGCGTGTTCGACGCCGTGTTTCCGGCCTAGGAAAAGAGAATGAACCGCTCAGCACCGTCATTTCACTCACCAGGCTCCGATGGCTGGGCCACGTGTTGCGCATGCCAGCCCACCGACACCCTCGATGTGCGTTGTTTGCTCACCGGGGATGTGGGTGGAAAAAGAGGAGAGGTGGCCAAGCGATGACTTGGTCCAGAGGAATGAAGGCCCTCACTTCGGAGCTGGCCTCAGTTGGAGCTTCACGGCTCCCTGGTTGGGGTCCAAAAGACGGTGAACACGTTTGGCTGGATAAACTTGCTGATATGGCAAGGAGCCGACCTCAGTGGCGTTCGTGCTGTGAGTTTCTTTGTCCCTCCCCATCCCTTTAGCCTCCCCCTCCATCTACGATCTTATTTCGTAGGGTAAAACGTAATTAAATTTTTGTTTTTGCCTAGTAGCCGGCTAGTAGCTTACCGGAACGATGCGTATCCGTTGCTGGTAGCTCGGCTGGCATTCAACTGTCGTATTTATTTTTCCTTTATGTATTGTATGTATGTATGTATTTCCTTTATGTATTGCGGTACAATAGCGGAGGTGTTTTACCACCTCTAGCTGACATGTATAATGATGATGATGATGTGGCCAGAGCATCAAGAAATTGTTTGACGAATAATTCACTCAGACGATTCTCAGGCACACGACCAACAGCAGCTGCATGCGGGCTAAGGATACTGCAAGACCAACGGCACCAGCTCAGACTTGAACAGATGACCTTTGAATTAAATATGAGACCTTATCCAATGGGACCTTGGCCCTGAACGACAGGGAACAAAAATACTCAGGTTTACTAGTTACCGAACGTCAATAGCGTGCACGCATGAGTATAGGTGCGAACATATTTCTGGCCAAATCGAGGCCATGTGATTTATGGAAAATGAAGAGTGGAGAAATGATATCATCAGAATAGCTCAAGCTAGCGGAAAAGAGTTCAAGTCCGATTTTTGCAAGAGTAAGCACACCGCGCCTTGGACTCAAGAATCCGATGCAGATGGCAAAGGCTGAAGGCTCAACTATTAGTGAGACCATCGGGTCTTGCTGGGATTCTCAATCGGCGTCCCACAAGCATTTTAAGTGACACTCCGTAACCACGGCAAGCTGGCAGAGGTCACTTAGCTTGAGTATTGAGAAAGATGTCAGTAGTACGCCGGTGTGTCACATGATGCTTCGTGGCCAAGCGACCATCGCCAGTCACATGCGGGCTAGGGATACTGCGGGGGTCGCCCGCAACGAAGCAGATTCGAACCGGTGATCTTTGAGCCAAAAAACAGACGCGTCATCCTTTTGGCCACCGCGACTTCATTCATCAGTGCCAACGGACTTTGAAATTCATACCGAGAACTAGTATATATCAGAATCACCTAGTAACAGGATAGTAAGAATTGTCAACAGTATGGAGCAAAACACTAGTGAGTAGTGGGAAGGTAGGATGTCAATAGAAATAAAAGAGACGGACACTGTAACATCTTTGTTTAGACTGCGAGAACAGAAGGAAAGGTAAATAATTCATTTCGAATGATGCAGTATGGGTAATAACAATAATCACTTACTAAGGAATCGTCGTCAAAATTGTCGGGTCTTTCGCATTGCTCGACAACTTCACTGTCTTGAAAAGGCGCCCCAGTCGGAAAAGTTACGCAGTGGGTTGTCATTTGTTCGATCACTGAAGCAACCAAAGACCGTGACGAGGAAGTGACCGAACCGGGTTGAATGATAGCTACGGAGCCACGCTGGCTCAACACAGATGACTTAATGCGTTGGTATATTAGATAATGATCAGGTGTATTAACTCCTGCCAGTAAGAGGGCAGTTGGAATCTGTTCAGGTGATGAAAGCGCTGATCGGCCACAGCTCCGGCGTGCAAGCCACGATTGGTGGGACGATTTTATAAAACTATCAACGGATTCAAATATAGATGTTGAGAGAGCCCTTAAATCATTCTGCAGTGGCGTAAATGATACTATAAGAAGGGCAAAACAAACCTCAATGAAGTTATTCAGTAAACGCCAAGAGCGTGAATAAACTTCAAAGCCGAGATTGGTGGAAGCAAGGGCTAAAGCATTCTAGTCACCACTAAGTAGAATACCTTTCTTTGACCCATGGTATACTGTAATGCCCTAGAAAAGCAAGATATAGAAACAAACATTAGGCTTGCTTACCTCCATTATAGTTTCTTGGTTATTTTTCAAGGTGCATGAATCCGAAAGGGAATAAAATCAATTGTATAATGCTAAAATACGAGAATATAAGACCAAAGCAGTAATCGGGCAGTGAGAGATAGGATTCCACGGGTCGAAATAGAACTCAGTAAAAAGCGGAAGATGACGATGATGATGTGCCAGCTGTACGCCGTAACGGCGCTTCGCTGCCGTGCGACCACCACCAGTCGCACGCGGGCTGAGTATACCGCGAGGACGCCCACCCCTACGCGGATTCGAACCCGCGCCGTAAGATTACGAGACAAGCTCGTTACCACTAGGCTACGGGCCGACAAAAAAGCGAAAGAGCACACAATAAAGCTCTCATATGTGCGGCCCAATATCAAAAATGGGGGTCAAATGATGATTAAACGAAGTACCAAAAGGAACAAGCCGGGTTTCGCCGAAATGGAGGCTGCAAAGATCACATTGGCTCTTTACGTCAGATGTTGGGACAGCAACATAATTATTGGTGATCCATTGTAGTCCTGTTCCACGACATTAGTGCACTAGATTCAGTAAACCGATGTGTCCTTTGAAACTATCTCCAAGAAAAGGTGCGTCCGATAAATATGTAAACATTATCAGTGTTGTATGGATATAGTTCGGGCAGAGTAAGGGCTTACGGCAAACTGTCACCGCCCTTCAATATCTTAAGCAGTGTGTACCAAGGTTGCCAGCTGCCAACTTTGATCGTTAACGTCACTTTTGATGGAGGAATGAAAATTTCATTCCTTGCTCACGACTTGGAAAGTGTGGAAGTGCTCCCAGCTGATCGAATTCTTGACTTGGAGTACGGCAACAACATTCTCTGAGAGTTGATCAGGCTAGTGTTTGTTGTCTTCGTGGATGTGGGTCTCGGGAAGGTTCATACCAATAGTTGGAGACAGTATCAGACATGGCGCAGTCACGCAATCAGTGGCGTCCTGCACGTTGTTTCTTGCATCTGGTTGTTAATGTTCGTTCCATTCTGATTAATTTAATGCTTCCATTTTCTTGGTATTCCATTTGCATTTAACCCCACTAGCCTAAAACAGTTAGTTATTATTCTTGTGATGTGAGTCGTGGCAACTGGACCCACCACACCTCGGTGTTCGGACCATGGGTGATTAAGTAAACTGGACTGAACTGGTGCCAATCTGCGCCACAGGTGGCGGAGATTGGCAAAACCGCATCGATCTTCAGTTGTGCGGTTCGTGATCCCATGTTCCATCACACTGGCACTAATACAGCTGCCTAGATACATGAATTTCTGGACGACTTCGAGCTGGTCACCATCAACGGTCAGTGCAGGCTGCTTTCCTGCCAATTTTAAAGGGCTTTGCATTTCAAGGGTGCAAAGCATAACTCTAAACGACAGACAACTAATGCTAATTTATCCAGTGCTACTTGGCACGTTTGGGAGCTGTCACATAAGGGAAACATCACTGATGTACTCCAAGTCAAGTAGTTGATCACCCGGAAGCAGCTCCACAAGTAAGTCGTGTCCAGAGAACGCAGTCCCCATGATTTCGTCTAAAGCATCCTTGTCTCACACTGCTGGAGATAATGTAGAGCTGCGACAGCTTGCAGTAAGCCTTCACTCTGCTCGAACAATGAACGTACAGTGATCTTATGACATAATTCTCGGACACAAATTTCCTCAGCAGACGGTCCTGAAGGGCAAATCGATCAACCGAATTAAAGGCACCATTGATGTTGTGGAACACGACTACGGTGAGTCGCCAATAAATATGGCGGTGCTCCAGCAATTGGCGTAATACAAAAAGTTGTCAACACAGACGCAACTTCGATGAACCACGCCTGACACCCGAGCTTCTGGCTTACACGGGTGCTGACCATTTCCGGACAGTCATGTTGCGGCCTAACTCGACGCCCTTTGAAGTCTTGGATCTCTGCTCGTTCTCTGGAGCTCTTCGAACGCCGCAAAGATATCCCCGCGAAATCAGATTGCAACGAGCGGCGCCATTCTACCAACCGGCTGCTTAAGCAAAGCCTACGCAAGGATCGCGAGACATGGTGGTCTGAGCGTGCTTTAGAGATGGAGACCGCTGCCCTCTCTGGTAACACTCGCGGGCTTTTCCAACTCATTCAGTCCACTGGTCTCAGGAAGCCTGGTGTCAGGGAGGTCATTTGTGAGGTGGATGAGTCTCCGATCACCAACCAACAGAGGCGTATGGACCGCTGGGCCGAGCACTTTCATTCGCAGTTCAACTGGCCTCCACCATCCATCAGTACATGCAGTACACCTTGCTGTCCACCCTGGCTCGTCCCTCTGAATCCACCCAGCGAAGCAGAAGTCTGCCTCGAGATTCGACGCTTGAAGCGCTTCAAGGCTGCCGGCTTAGACGGACTTCCTCCGGAGCTATTCAAGTATGGCGGTGTGGCAGTCATTAACCAGCTAACCGCGCTGTTCGCAAAAATTTGGCATGAAGAGAAAGTGCCTTCCTCTTGGGGCGAATCAGTCCCAATTTTCAAGAAAGGCGCTCGCATTTCATGTGCAAATCATCGCGGGATTAGTCTTATTTCGGTTGCCTCTAAGCTGTTGGCATCCATTCTACTTCGTAGACTATCCCCAGTACGTGAATCATACTACCGTGAAGAACAAGCTGGTTTCCGTCCTGGCCGCGGATCAAATATTCACGCTCCGCCAGCTCCTCGAACATCGTCACATTTATCACAGGCCCACTATCGTTGCATTCCTAGACATATGTGCCGCTTTTGACTCCGTTGATCGACCTGCTTTATGGCGTTGCTTACTAAAGAACGGGGTGCCAGAGAAATATACCGCCATCTTACGAGCACTTTACCTTCATACATAAGGCAGAGTGGGGGTCTATGGCAAGCTTTCCTCGCAATTCGCTGTCAATAGCGGTGTGCGACAGGACTGCCCTATGTCCCAATTGCTCTTCAACTTCGCAATCGAAGACGTTCTGTCGAATGCCCTAGAAGGTTTTCAACATTTTGGCCTAGAGCTTCTATCGGGTGAGCGCGCGACCGACTTAGATTATGCTGATGATATCGCCTTACTTGGTGACGATCCTCAGGGTATGCAACTCATTCTGGATCGTTTGGCGGTTGAAGCATCTAAGTATGGCATGAGCTGCGCCCCATCGAAGTGTAAAGTACTGCTCAAGGATTGGCTTTCACCTGCACCCGTGCTCACTCTCCAAGGTGCACAACTTGAACAGGTAGATAGTTTCGTCTACCTTGGGAGCTGTGTTTCCGCTGACGGCACTATCAACAAAGAAGTTTCTCTTCGTATCGCTAAAGCTCGATCAGCATTTGTCAATCTGAGGCACTTGTGCGTCGTCGCGACGTCTCATTCTCACTAAAGAGCCGAGTTTACAGCGCGTCAGTTCGCTCAGTATTGTTGTATGGGAGCGAGTCCTGGCCGATTCGCGTGGAAGACATGCGTCGTCTTTCTGCGTTCGATAACGGTTGCTTAAGGAGGATCGCTCGTGTTCGGTGGCAACATCGAGTTACCAGTAATGACGTTCGACGTCGCGTCTTGGGGAATGCAAGTATTTCCTTCAACAAACTGGTTTTGTTGCGCCAGTTAAGATGGCTCGGTCATGTCCTACGCATGGCACCTGAGCGTCTACCGCGTCGCGCTCTATTCGCTCGTCAAGGACCTGGCTGGAAGCGACCGCGTGGTGGTCAGCCTTCCACTTGGCGGCAGCACATGAAATCGCTGACGTCGCGTCTAGCCGCTGTTGGACCCGTACGTCTTCCAGGATGGGGACCCAAAGATGAGGAGTGCCAATGGCTTAGGACTCTTGAAGACATGGCCCGCAACCGGAATCAGTGGAAGAATTGTGTACAGTGTTGTATTGATTCACATGTTTAATACTACCAACATTGAAAATGACAAAAAAGAGAAAAATCGGCGTGTGACAAACAAACTAAAAATGTTTTGTTCTGTATTTTTGTCAAAATATTCCATTTTCTTGCGGCATATTAGCTGAAGTGTGTTGCCCACCTTCAACTAGCATGCCACGACGATTATGACGCAATGACTGTCTCTTATCCACTGATTTCCATGGCTTTGTTGGCTCTATGTCTAGTTACTAGACTGTTGAGATTACTGTTGGCGGCATCCGGTTTCGGATTTGCCTGTCACTGTGGCCAGCCACAGGACGCCTGCGCCTACAGAGGGACCATGAGTGGCTTGCGCTGCACCACCCACAGCTCCAACCACATACCCCATATCCAGTGTAAACCCGAAGGAATAAGACCGGGAGGCATGTGGATGGGAACCACGTTTCATCAACGGAGCCGGCCCACACTCCTTCACAGGCAAACACAAGCACACTGTATTTGGGAATCAAGCGCACACAAGGCGGTGGCTGGACCGTAGTCCGCTCCACACTGAGTGCATGGAACCACTCTTTGATCCTAACACGGCCACAAGGACCGTGCACCCTGTCCCCTCCAGCAACGACCAACTGTCTCCTGGAGCCAGTATGGACGAGGTAGTGGGTAATAGACAGGTAGGCACCTTGTCAACATGCACATCAAGCGCAGCCACACCGGGGATATCAAACAACAGCCAAACACTTGAGAGAGAGAGAGAGAGAAAAAAAAGAGAAAAACTCGATTAATGCATAAGGAAACGATGATATAAACCTTAATTAAATAGCATATGTAATAAGTTGTTTACAAACAAATCCTAGCTAAGTGCACGAGGTCAGGAACTATAGTTCACGGAACGCCATGAACACGAAAATGTTACGGAAATCTAATACAATTGGCTTAGGCGATGTGTGCAAGTTAATGGAATAGAGTACAGGGAGATATTTATGAGAAAGAGAGAGAGTTAAGATAAAAACTGTAAACCCACCACCTGAAATAAGAGACTTAGCATGCAAGCACGCGGTTAGTAAATCGAATTCAGCGTGCCTACAAACGCTGCGCCGGCTCGCCGTAATTCTCTGCAGGACCCGTCGTCGCTTCTGTAGTGGCCAAAAAGGGCCTAGCTCAAGGCCCACTAGACATTTATATGAGAAAGAAGGCATTAGGACAGAACCGAA